TATACAATCGATCTTCACTTTTTTAATTTTGATACCGGCTGGTTAAACAAGGTTGGTAAAGTATTTGACAAAAAAGCCCATTTTTGTTTTATAATCCGATTTAGTATTTTTTGTGGTCGGCTGTGTAGACATGAATCCACGTCTTGCTACCGTAGTAACAGGGAGTATTTGATTAGCTTGACAGCTGTCTCTTTTAGCTCTATAAGGCTCCTTGTTCTTAAATTCGAAAATTTCAAGGTTTAATAATAGTTTTCAATTTATCATCTACCAGAAAAAAAAATCCTTTGACTTTCAGTCCAACCTCACATAAATTATGGGTCTTTAGGTCCAATGACACATAGAGCTTTCCCAATCCCTTCACCTGAATTTCCAGGATAAACTAAAAATAATTAAACAAATTTCGGTAAACAATGATGTACCAGTTTCTTTAATAGAAAAGATAATATCAGAGTAAACGCTTATAAGTGAATTTTAGCCAAATATCAGAGAACATAATACATGTAAATATAGTAGCATCAATCACTCAGATAAACTTTCAGAAAATATTCAAAATTACTTATCTAAATAACAACCTTGCATAAGTAATAATAATTCAGGCAGAATTCTGTTCAACTCAAAACCCAAACGAGATAGAATGAAAAACTTAGGTATATAATAGAATAGGATGGTGGAGAATGCTCTGCAGTATATACAAGCTAAACCAGTAGAAATTTTGAAGTAAGACTCACATGTAATGAAGGAAAGAAAATGAATTCCATGGAAACTATGAAAATCAATTCCTTAATGAATTAAAAACCCGCAATATATAACTCTAAACGAGCAACTTAATTTATATAGGACTCCACTAACTCTTGAATTTATAAGTGGGCAAACACCTTACTTGGAAAGACCATTACGAATCACTCATGTCTAAATTGTCCTCTCTCATATTAATTTTTCAATCAATTTCAAGTCTGAATCTACTATACTCTGTCCAACCAAGCAACAGAGGGCTCCAAACCATTATCAAGCATAGTGCACGTGATCTTCCAGACAAGGCTGCTTGTACAGAGGCGCGGCTGGGTATAAGAAAAAAAATTTTAGGTGGAGTGTAGGGATACAAATTAGCAGTTTCTTCAGCCGTATTAGTACTTGACATTTTGAAAATTTCAAACTCCAAAATACCATATATGTACACACCATAGGCGTTGAAACGTAACTGACCACTCCGAGACTGTAGTAATGAATTCCGCCAGCCGATTGCAGTTAAATCTGATTGGCCAGCGTATAGAGTTACAAACAAACATACATACAAACAAGCATACATACATACATACATATAGGTGAAGCTAATATAAAGCGTGTAAAAATAGATCTTCTCTCTATTTTTAATTAATCGAAGGCCTTTGATCTTCGATACACTGTGCTCAGAGTTTTTACTTCCTAAATTATCTAGCCTAGTGAAAGAAATATAGGTATTTTGTAATGTTTAATGTCGGTTGAAAAATTTTTAACAAGGTGTGGCTCAGGGCATGGATCTACTTTTTTCCTGCATGTAAATGACTTACCTCAACATATAGTAGATGGGCATATCAAAATGACACCACCATAATTTTATCGGGACAAAATCTGTTTTTCCGTTAACCAGCTGTCGCTTCCCTACGAACGACGACTCTCAAAAGTCGAAACTTGTGCAAGCTAAGAACTAACGAGGCCTTACCTTTTAACGTGTGATTCCTAACACGGGTTGGCAGCAGGTTCGCACAGCGGTCAATTGACTGAGTGAAACTTATTTTGAATACCTTCAAAGCAGTATTGATGAAATTCCATTTTAGGACTAATACTTCAGATGATCCTGTCATATGCGAGAGTAATAACTCTATGGAAGTAAAATTTCTAAGTGCCTACTTGAATGCTAATCTCAACTGGAATAAACAAGTAGATCATACATGCTCATAGATAAATGAAACATACTACGCCATAAAGCAGCTGAAATTAACATTGAATAAATCAGGATTACTCAGCATTTATGAAGCGATGGTATATTCTCATATAAAATTTAAAGTTGATTTGGGATGGGACAAATGACGTCTCGAGAGTTTTTATTGCCCAAAAAAGGATAATAAGGCTCATATTCACAATGTACTACAGGACAGTTGCCGGTCTATCTTCTAGGAAAAAATCCTATAATAGCGCCCTCCATCTTCATTTTTAAATATATCACGTTTGCCAGGCAAAACCCAAATATTTTCTTGGAAAATGCCCCTGTTCATAATTATGTCACAAATGGACTGTTATTGTTAATTCCTCATGATCGCATAACACTTTTCAAGATATCTCCATAGTACAATGCTGTCAATTGCTCTAATAAGTTACCCTATGAATTTAAAAGGATTAAAAATTATTTTCACAATGATGTTAATAACCTACTTCTATTAAAATGCTATTATAGTTACCAGAACTTCTTAAGTGACGATCTCTACTTAATATCTTGTTCGTTATTTTTTAATTAATAATGATTCAAATCACACAAATTGAACTGTATGGGATGATGAGTAATTTCAAGACTGTATGTTTTTAATGTTCATGTTTTTAAACTTTATTCAATTCTTGTGAGTATAATCATATATTCATGTTTTTTGACTATGTTCACTTATTTTTATCGTTGATAAATTGTTGTTCTGGAACCATACTTGCGCTTTCGGAATCTTGATAAGTTTTATTCAATGTTAATTTGAAATAAAATGTTTTTCATTTAAAAATGATTCAGTTTTAGTATTATCATTCAGTCGTTGTTTTATGGGCAAAGTACATAAAACACTCTTGAACTTTGCAAACACTATTTTCAATGAACGTTTCTGCAAGCTGGCGTTATCAGTCCCTCAAATTCAATACATTGATTTAAAAAAAAAATATTTGCTTTATTTTTCATAAGTATATGATGAGATATTATTCCTTTCTAGACAGGTTTGTTGGGTAACAAGATCGAAATAACGTTAGGATGCAGTTCCAAACTATGACACCCTTCAAACCCGAATGAAATCTGAAAAACTAGGCCGCGAAAGCCTTAACCAATTCATAAGATCGAAATATCTTACAAAACAATTGTTTTCTTGGCAACATTCAGAATGTAATTGGTTTTCTTCAAGGCTCTGTAACAATGAATTTTACAAAACATACACAAACTTTTTAACTGTTGTCGTTTTCATATAGGTGAAGCTAATATAAAGCGTGTAAAAATAGATCTTCTCTCTGTTTTTAATTAATCGAAGGCCTTTGATCTTCGATACACTGTGCTCAGAGTTTTTATTTCCTAAATTATCTAGCCTAGCGAAAGAAATATAGGTATTTTGTAATGTTTAATGTCAGTTGAAAAAATTTTAACAAGGTATGGCTCAGGGCACGGATCTACTTTTTCCCTGCTTGTAAATGACTTACCTCAACATATCTGTTTTTCCGTTAACCAGCTGTCGCTTCCCTACGAACGACGACTCTCAAAAGTCGAAACTTGTGCAAGCTAAGGACTAACGAGGCCTTACCTTTTAATGTGTGATTCCTAACACGGGTTGGCAGCAGGTTGATTGAAAAAAAATTATTTGCTTTATTTTTCTTAAGTATATGATGAGATATTATTCCTTTCTAGACAGGTTTGTTGGGTAACAAGATCGAAATAACGTTAGGATGCAGTTCCAAAATATGACACCCTTCAAACCCGAATGAAATCTGAAAATCTAGGCCGCGAAAGCCTTAACCAATTCATAAGATCAAAATTTTTAAAAAAATAATTGTCTTCTTGGCAACATTCAGAATGTAATTGGTTTTCTTCAAGGCTCTGTAACAATGAATTTTACAAAACATACACAAACTTTTTAACTGTTGTCGTTTTTATGTTGTAAGTATTAATGAAAGATTTTCCATGTTAAAACAATAACTGAATTCAGAAATCATTGGACATGTTAAATACATATATAAAATGAAAGACACAACAAAAACTACACTTTACTCTGAAAATGGAAACAACGTTTCTAGGCATCAAAATTATTTAAGATAATCAAGGAAAATATCATAAAACTCCATAAATGAAAAATTTGCCTGAAAAACTTGGCCTGTTACTTAGGTTAGGTCCAAAGTGAGTGGGTCTATTCGACCCTCCACCACAACCTGCAAGGGTTTATTGTGGCTCAAACCCATTCACACTCGATAAAATAAACCCAGCTTCTAATGAAGCTGTGGCCTGTTACTTAGTAACAAACACAAACAAAGTGGCGTTTTCAAATGGGAATACTGTTGGAAAATATTTTTTCTCTAAAACAGAAAACTAAAATACCACTAGATATATAATACAACATAGTACACAAATTGAACTGTGGAAACTGTCCCAAAAGCTATGTTGGCCAAACCGAACGTTACCTAAAAATTCGAGAAACACGAGTTCAGAATATCCTCATGATTCTAGATGTCCAACCATTTATCTAAAAATGGCTGGACATTTCATTTTTCTAAAAGAATCATCGTAATGAATCATATCCTCAAACACGATAGTGTCAACACTAAAAGGGATGTCGATGACCTCAATACTACATATTTCAATTTAATCAGTAAAACACCAAAATAATGTCTTTTTTCAAATTTTTCTTTACATCAATAAAAAAGGAGCCACCTCATCAAAATTATAGATAAAGTCTGTTTCATGTCATGTGTTGTGTTGGTCTCATTTATTTTGTTTGCTACAGTGTTTTCTATTTTTCATATGTATCTAACATATCTAATGATATTAAAATTTAGTTACATTCAGTCCATATGACATGGAAAAACTTCTTTTTTGTGATTAATTTTGTTATAATTATTACTTATCTAATTATTACATTAAAAACGACAAATTACGACTTTGAAGAAGAATTTAATCAAATTCGAAACCTTGGCATGAAAACAATTTTGTTCCTAAGATAATTTGATGCTAGCCAACAACCCTTTCTAGAAATAAGTCATTTGGATAACTGGTCTGTTTAACTAATTATTTTTTCTATTCATTATCATCACTACTCAGCTGTAATGGAACATAATGCAGCCCCAGAAAAGATCCACCTCGAACCATTGTCAATTGTAAAATCTCTCGATAGCTCCGAAGAATTCAAACACGATCGAAACATAACTACTTCCGATCAGGAAATCAGCGAAATTGCGAAGAAAAAAATCGTCCACAACTTTTTGGATCAAATCGCAAGTGGTCAGCCTAAACCAAACCCTTCTAGAAGAAACATTATCGAAGATTTCCCGGAAACAGCTGAAGATGAAGAAAAGATATTATCTGTTAAGGAACTGAGGAGGAAATTCGAAAAGGATCAAGTACGTATTACAAAGGTTTATAGGCCCCACTTTCATTTAATTTGTTTTTTCATTTGTCTAAAGGGTAAAAGCAAAGTTGTGTCCAGCTTGACTGCAAGAAGTTTATCGAAACAGATGAAGACAACATGGAAGAACTAATTTAGGAAAATCTTGAAGCAATAAGGTGGGTTTATTGGTACATAAATCGAGCAAACAGAACAAAATAAAAGTAGTAAATCTACTAGGTACAATATATAGTCAGTCATGGCAGTCACAAAATATTGAAACAAACTGCCAGTTCACTTGAGGTTAAGTGGTAGAACAAACCTGTAGTGTTCTACACTGCAGTTTTGAACTTCGCCTTTTGGATGTTATATTGTATTTCACCCAATAAAGACCATTATTATTATTATTATTAAATCCGGCTCGAAGGACCAATAAGTATTGATTTTATTTCAAATTTTATTTGCAGATAGACTCCGATAAGGCTGTTTAAACTGTTAGGATATAAGGATTCCAAAGATATTTTATTTTAAGGTAAAAATGTTTTAATGTACATATAAACTTATTTGTATATACAATTATCACTAAGTCGGGGTTAAGAGAAATGTATCCCTTCATTGTTGAATGCGTGTAATATCCTGTAAAAAAACAAAAGATATATTAAATTATGCATGATTTAATTGTATTTTTTATTTATTTCCCTCCGATACCTTGCGGATTGAGATGTTGTGGATACTTTGAATGAATACATGAAATGTATACATTTGTTAAAACATAAAACAAAAATTGTGGATCTCATTAGTTTAAACTTTTGTATATATCTAAAACCCTAAATAAATAAAATAATCACCCTGTTTATTGACGAACTGAGATGCAATTAATTCAATGTTGACAGAAATATTGTTCTGAGTTCAATTCAAATTGAAAATTATAAAAATAGTAGTTACAAATAGTCCAGATTGAAATTACAATTTAGTTTAGAAGATGAATTTTTAGAAGTTTGAGAGGAAGTGCATTCCCCACACAGCAATAATCATTTAGATGATTGTCATCGCCATTAAACTAATTCTTCACAAGTATATTCTTTAAAAATAAAGTTATCATTTAGCTGATACTACAGAAATTCAGTTGACAGTTAGTTAGCAAAAACAGTCAGAAAAAATATAAAAGAAAAACACTTGATTTCATACTGAATTCAGTCCTATTATTATCTCATGAACAATTTGATGACACTTGAAGGTTTTACTCTTCCAATGCACAATGGTTTAGGTGAATTATGATACTTACACCAAGAAATCATCTGTATCCATGGTTCTCGCTCGTTTTTGATCTGCTTCTACCTCGGTGAGGATTTTTTCTATTTTCTGTTTGATATTAAAATCAGGCTGAATTTCCTGAAATCCAATTGAAATATAAACTCTCATACAGATTATGACAAATCCTTCACTAGTAAAAGAAGTACTCAATTCGGGATTTGAAGGGTGAGTTAAAATAAGTATCAGATGTAATTTTCGAGTCATCAGAATTCCATAGCCTTTAAAAAGGCTAGACCAATGGGAAACAGTTTGAGAGATCAAACTGATGGGTTCACCCCAAAGTACTCTTTCCTGAAAAAATATAACTGTAACTGACTGTAGTGAAAACTGTTGACTCTTTGAAAACACTATTCTATTAGGAAAATAAATATTTCGAAATAAAATTCAAAACTTTAACTTCTCCGAACATTTTTACACAGTAGAATCTGGTAAATACTCGCCGGAAAGCAACTACTTTTCAGGATAATACATCATAATACATAATATACCCCTGAATTTGTTTGAAGAGATCACCTGAAGATCGGTTTCAGAAGTTAGACCTCGTCAAAGCAGGAAAGATGCAACCCAAACAGCAGTATGCCTAGGACTCGAATAATTTCATCGTAGATCTGCTACATATACAATATTTTCGTCTGAGAGAAACATTTGTCGACAGATGTTGATACAAAGTATTTCTCTCAGCACAAAAAGCATATGCAAGACTATCCTCTGTGAGGTCTCTCTAACTCAATATCCAACATGGTACTACCCGGGGAAGTTGTTGTTTTTGAGCTTTCACCAGATTCTTCAGTATGGCAAGTTGGTAGAGAGGAATGTTTCGAATTTCATTTTGAAATATTCATTTTCTTAATATGTCTGTATCACTTCTCCAGTAATCAGACTGATTTTGATTACTATTTCACAGTATTACTGATATCAACATTTAAAATAAAATTGTGTATTAAAATTGAGGTAGTGTTTCCAAAATACATGCTTGAAAAAATTAGTGTTTTATATTTTATTGAATAGTAGCGACCCGCCCCAGCTCCGCACGGGTGCAATGCTGATACTAAATATACTATAGAATGTCTTTATATAGAACGTTCACAGCTTTTTTGTCAGTAGACAATACAAACAGTACGACCGCAACCGCTATGTCCCCGCATTTTAAATCAGTAATGTCTTCGAAAATATTCATTTCTACTGAACTTAATAACTTATATTGCTCTATTGCAAAGGACTTGACGAAAAATATAAAAGGAGCCAGTGACCCCTTAGACTATGTGAATATGGAAGTCACGAACACCTTTATATTATATGACACAAATATTAACGAACTGCATGAAACATTATTTTCCATTAAAAATAAAAACTTTTTTTTTCTATTAATGAATAATTAATTTTATATAATGCTTGTCTGAAGGTTTTAAAACGGCAGCTTATTCTAAATTTAACTTCTTATTTTGGACTCATTGTATATACTTTCAAGAAATATATGAAGAATAGCTGATATATTTGTGATTTTCTTTATAACGGAAACGTTCTCCTACTATATTGTGTTTCCTTATCGTGAAAAGTAATGAATGCAAAACGCTAACAAGAGTGCCCATACATAATTTTGTGATTTCATTGTGATTTGCCACAGATTGTATGAGGGGGTTTATAATACTTTACCGAGTCCACCCTATTATTATATTGCGAACGGATCGTAAACAAAAGATTTTATGAGCGTTAGAGTCGTTTTTCTACCTGCAGCGGCGTGCGTTTAGGTATTTTTTTGATGATACTTGTTAAAACAAATGACTATGCTCATTTATTTATATACAATTAATGTTATTATAACCCTGGTATGCTATTTTACGCACAATTTTCGCTGCCGCTCTAGATGTAGCGGGAAAAATGCTGCCGACTTCGATGGAATTCCAACGAAATTTCTACAGCATTCGATTACGATATATAAATGCTAGCCACGAGCATAGCGAGATAGCCTAGTGGAAGTTACAGTGCGGTACGCGAAGCGATCTAGTAAAGCGATAGACATTCGAATAATAGTTGAAATTTTAGTTTGAAGTGTTCCGGTCTCAAATATCCCTTATATCCAATACAAGATTAGGTTTTTTTCTAGAAATGCCCTAATCCATGGGACAGGTAGCCAAACTTCGAGTTCTTTTCATCACCCTTACTCGGCTCATCATTGTAATTTCAATATAATTATGTAGTTATAGAAATATCCTAGTGAAATATTCGAACATGTCCGTTGAATGCCCATTTTTTTTGTTGTTTGCCTTAGTTTGACTAGATTTTCAAAAAAAGTTCCATATTGTTCCGGTTAGAAAAAGTGAACAAACATAACCCACGTGTCTGAACTTTAGTTCGCAATAGTTTTTAGCACCTCTTTTTGCCACATTTTCACATAATNAGACTGCAAAACTTTGCGTGCAAAATTACGGGTGGTACAAGATGAGTGCTTCTGTTCACAAGCTGCTTATTCACAGTAGTGACATAATAGCCTGTTTGCCATTACCTGTGGGACAACTTTCAGAAGATGTTTTGGAAGCAACCTAAAAAGAATATAAAAACATTCGACTCTCCCATTCCAGGAAAACGTAACGGATAGATACAAACACAGATATCATGCATTGGTTGCTGATAAATTCGGATCCAGTAATAACTGCCAAACGTCATAAGTCTACCAGGACAAAAAAGTATTTAATGAAGATGTGTCATCAATGATCACAATTCCAGAATTTTAACAAATGTTCACACTCCGTGTGAACAACCAACATGAAATTATATCTCACAAATAATGTTTTATACACACAATTTATGTTTCTGTTTTGAAAAATGTTTTTGTCGCCGTAAATCGGCTGTTTTGCCGTGTGTGCGTTGCCAGATTCCAGCCGTACATCTAATAATATTCAAATTGACAACGTACCAACTTCTAAATTCCTTGGCATGTAGTTTGAAGTCCAAGGTCTCCTCTGGATGTTATGCAATACGAGTAACTGCATTGGAGCTCAGATCTGCAGTAGCTAAAATGGTTCATCATTCCCTTTTTGAATCCCGTCTTACTTATGGTATTTGCTTTTGTGGTTTGTGATCTACCATATGCCTTCAATCAGTATTACTAATACAAAAACGTGCAATACGATGCAAATGCAAAGCCAAGCCAGGGACTCTTGTTGGCCTCTTTTTGCCTCTAACAGAATCCTAACTGTCTCCTTATTATGAGACAATCTGCCTTCTCTTTAAAAATAGGAACTTGTTTAACAATTGACGAGCTAATGTATCAAACCAGGCAAAGATTCAGCTTCAAATTACCGCTGCCTTCTTCGACCCTAGTTAAAGATTCCATTATTTACAACGGTCTCAAAATGTTTAATCACCTTCCTCAAGCTATAAGAACCATAATTAACCTTAGCGCTCTTAAGAAAGAGTTGAAAGACTTGCTTTCTGTGAGACCTTATTATAGCTTAGCAGAATTCTACGATGATTATTTGAATTGAGTATGATTCAATTTTGTTTAAATTGATTATTTCATTTTATTGACCATGTTCTTATGTCTTGAACATTTGTATTATCACTTACTTTTAGTGATTTTACTTTTGTGATTCTTGTTTGATTTCATTTGTATGTTATTTATATTTTGCACATGGTATTGTTAATAACAATTCATTCTTCAGTCAATAAAGTATATTTTGAATTGAATTGAAATTACATGCTGTAAGGGGCATCATTGATCATATTATGGACAGATAAGATAAAGAATGTATTAAAGATAATTTTATAAACGCGCCTTTTTCCCCGCGGCTGGCGTCGTACTTACAACACTTGATTATTTTAGAATTTTTGTTGATAATGGGTTTCTTGAAAATATCACAACAGAAACGAATAAGTATGCAGAAAACTTGTTATTGTCAAAGGGTGGTAAAGAAAAGTCAAGGATAAATGATTGGATAGATCTAAAAGAGCTCCTGAAGTTTATTGGTTTGGTGTATCATATGGGCAATGTGAAACTGGACAAACTCCAAGACTATTGGAGGACCAGTCGGCTATTCAATTTCAAATGTTTTTCGGATCACATGAGCTGGAATAGGTTTTTGGTGATACTCAAGAGTTTGCATTTTTCTACGAATCCAGAACGAATCTGAATCAAACGACCGTCTGTATAAAATTAGACCAGTTATTAATTATTTCAATGAAAAAATGAAGGAACTATATTATCCCGGAAAAAACCTCTCTCTGTACGAATCTATGGTTTTGTGGCGAGGTAGACTATTGTTCCGGCAGTACATCGCAAATAAGCGACATAAATATGGACTGAAACTGTATATGCTGACAGAGCCAAATGGGCTTATACTGAATTTTGCAGTTTACACCGGCCAATTGGATGAAACGGGCGGTAAAGGCCGAGCACAAAAAGTTGTTCAGCATGTAGCAAAAGATTACCTCAACAAAGGACATTCTATTTATATGGATAATTATTGCAATAGCTGCCAATTAGCTAGAACCTTGATAAACCTTAAAACATACTGTACTGGAACTCTACGCAGTGACAGCAAAGGTGGTCCTGTTGAAATTTTGAAAAGTAAATTGAAAGTTGGGGAATCAAAAGCCCAGTATGCAGATGGTATAATGATCGAAAAGTGGAAGGATAGAAGAGATGTTACCTACATATCCACAGAATTTGAAAATCAAATGGTAGAGAGAGAACTAATAAAAGAGGAGTTGCTAAACAGAAGCCTTTACCAATTGTGGAATACANATTCCACTTTCGGTGGAGGTCGGAAATTGTTTTTTCCTACCTAAAAATAAAACTGAAGGTGTCGGCGAAAAATTTTTGGGTAATAATTCACTGTAGCAGCTTGTGCTATTTTTGAAAAGAAAATTAAACTCGCATAATTCTGTTCGATAATTACGAATCTGAAATCAAAACTTTTTCTGGCCTACTTTCAGATTTTTTTAAGGGAAAAATACAAGCACTACAAGAAAATTCTCAAGGCGCGGTGGCTGTGTGAAAGTAGTGATTCACGGTGGATTTGTATCACTGGAGATTGGATTTATGTAGAAACTGTTTCAGGAACTCACTTTTATTTTACAAAATAATCCTTCTTTTGAAAGCACGCTCTATCTGATTGATATTGTCACTTCAATAGAGCTTTCATTATTATTATTTAGAAAAAGTTAAATTCCAAAAACGAAAATTATGTCAAAGGATTTTTATTCTGTAGAGTAGTCTCTCAAATACATTTTTTTATGTGATAGAATTGGTCGATACTTGATGAAAATCCTTCTTTGAAATGAAACAAATACTACAGAAATTTACAAGTATAAACGTTTGTTTGAAGGTGGTTGGCAATGTTTTATGGTGCATTTCATTAGTTCAGAATTCCGGTGTCTAATACTATATAAAATGATTTGAAATCAAAAATAACAATTATACTAACCAAAAAAACTGAAATTGCAATGAAATGAAATACAAGCAACAA